CAACATTTAGCCGAAGCAATCAATAAATCACTTTTAATGCTATCTATTATTTTTAAGCAAGTAACTTTTTTTCATAAAAATTATGTCCGACATCTTATGTTGCAATCAATAGAAGCCAACACAATGATTCATATTCCGATTAAAAAATGGCCTGCATGCTAACATTTAAAAAAGGGTATTTTTGCAAATTAAAAAATAATCAAATACACCACAAAGAAGCATCATAAACGGCTCTCAGGGGCCCAAGCACTGGAGAGCAAAACAAAAACAAAAAAGAGAAATGGACTGAAAAGTAAGTAGGTCATGTATACTAAGGTGCTAAAAATACTAACATCTGATTTGTGGCTGAGAGCACTATTTTTAAAATCTAGAGGTGTACAAGTAAATGAAGAATTGAACAGTCCTTTGTCACCAAAAAACTGCTTTGATGAGGCATTAAAAAAAAGAAAAAAAAGATTCCCTGTGCTGTACAGAATCCAGGAAAAAAAAAATATTTCCTTTAAGAAATATACCTCCTTCTCCAGCAAAACAATGAATTTCAGTTGTTCTGTAACCCAGTTCCTTTAATCTGCATAAGAGATGCTGACTGAGTTCACTCAACCAAATCACTACTGGCTTTCAGAATACAATCAACACATGCTTTTCAACAGTATTAATATAGCATGAAGCTTGTGCTCCTAATTATTCATGTTTTTGCATTCTGTTTTTTCCCCCTGCTGTAAAATATGCAAATTTACTTCTTTGTGTTATTTAGGTCCCACATGGGCCTCAACAGATCTGCTTGGAAGGAATTACAAGCCAAACATCTAGATACACGCTGTCAACATTTCAAGCTTCATTATTTTTATTAGGTTGGAATGCCATTATAGATTTGATATTAGGATTTAAAAAGCTTTTTATAAATCCGTCAAAAACCTACAGTCTAATAAAATGGTGTGCTGATAATTACTACTACTCCACTTTGTGTGCGTGAAAGAGAGAGAGAAAAGCCCTCCAAGTCCTGAATACAAGAGAAATCCCCATCTAGTGGCACTATTGAAAAACGCAGTTTGTTTTTGTGCAAAATTAGTACCCAGGAGGATTAGTTTGAGTTCATTACTGAATGAAGGGGAGCCATTACCTCCTTATGCAACTCAGGAGCGGTAACAGGAGAGGGCTGTTTCTGCTGAATTTCTCCTCCTCGGACTGTAAAATTCAACACCCAAACCAGATTTTTAAGTATAAAACCCAGAAAGCAGCACTTCAAGAAACAGGTCGCTTAATGCAGTAACATCTTGGTACACATCAAAAGTGTTCACTTACGGTGGCGGAGACTGGTACATCTAAAGTATTCTTTAGATAAAAAATACTTAAAAGATTTCTCCCAATCTCCTATTATTATAAAATTAGCATAAAATATTTTTGAATTTGAACAGCACAGTGAAATAGTAGCTTAGTGGAAAACTGCAAGGCTGGAAATAACTACACAAGCACTTACTGTTATATAAAAAGATACGTAATATAAGCCCATTGATGCAGAAAGTGAAAGGACATTGAGACACTGCTTTTTTCCAACTGGCACAAAGCCTTATGCATTTCTTTAATGTAATAGTATATTTTAAAACACTGCAGCAGCCCAGCCTTCCTTACTAGCACCACTAAAAGCTCCTTAAATATTAATGAACAAACAACGTAGAGATTCACAGGAATCTACTACACATTACTACCAGCTCCTAGAAAATAAACAGCAGCAGCAACACCAAGATTTTACAAATCTTTCAACGCATTTAATTTTTGAAGTGTGTAAGCAGAGGGGAGAAACCAAAAAGCTATTTGAATTGCAGGAAAAATCTCGTATGGGGTAGTCCTTTCATTTGGAAGGATCAGTACATTAAATTCTCCTTTCATAGCATACTCACTCTGGAAGATTTTAAAATGCACATTTCTCTCAGAAACAAACATCTAAGAACTTCTTAAAAGAATCATGTGTATACATCTGTATTACTAAGATCGAGATGTAAACAAATAGGTCTTTATAACATGCTGTGTGACAGTGGGGGTAATTCAAATATGCAATTTATCCGATTCTTTCTTCCACAATAAAAAATATCTCAAATACTATCTGCATGCAGAATAGATTCATGTCAAATCAGAAACGGGGAGTTGAAGGGAAAAAAATATATGTAAAATTGTTCTTCAGAGAAACAGAGTCAGGATTTCCAGAACTAAAAACTGACGAGTGTTGATCAGTTTACTTTTTGTATCTTCTGTACTTCCTGCTTTGTTAAGGATGTTATTCTGCAGTGTAACTGCAGTTAACAAAGGGAAACATCCAGTTGGCTGTAAATCATACTTTCCACAGCCTCACAGCTGAGTGAGGATGCTCCTGCCTACAGATGAGGATGATCCTTTATTGAAGGAATTATACTGAATTAACTCAGAAATACAGATACTGAACACAGCAGAGTAAGGTTCATGTACCTCTTTTAAGATAAAGCCAAAGCTCAAATGCCTTGCAGAGATTACCTTAAAACACTAAGTCACACCCAACCATCAGAATTTTGGGATAAGAGTATCTGCTACCATCAATCATAATTCATCAAGCTCACGTACTTTTTGTGCATCCCATTACGCATCTGAATTTGTCTCAGCACATATTAGTGAGGACTTTTAAACCACCTTAATTCTCACCAAAAAATTCTACCTTTCAGCTAATACCAGTTCTCTTCTACCTTCTTAATAATGAAGAAATATTTGCCTTATATTGTATTTAATCTCATAGGATGAAAAACAGTAGTTCCCACCTCACTTTCTGTTGGTGTAAGTCTGACCACATTTTTTCTGTCAAGCTACTTCTCTTCAGACAGCAGCATTGCAACAGAAGGTGCACATTGGTTAATTTGACAAATCCAGGACTCACTTGAATACCACAAGTCCTTCTTATTGAGAAGAGACTTAAGAGACACTTAATTTCTTACGTTTGTGACTATTTAGGATTTCTTGAGAGGAAACATAACAGGCAAAACCCATGCTTGCTCCAATACTGAGAAGCATAACAAATAAGTGTTAAGCCAAAATTTGCTTACTAGTTCTAGGTGCCCTCCAAGAACCCCACCCCTGCCCTTTTTTCCCTCGGGTACTTGCTCTTGAAACTTCAAAAAACTCTACCCCAAAATTGTTGAATCTCAGAAAACAACCTTCAGATGACAGTCAAATGCTCCCTGTTAAGTCAGTGACAGTCCCTACCACCTCTCAGAGTTTTGCACCTGAGGCAGAGAGAGCTCTGACTGAACAGCCATTGCTCAGCAGTGAAAATCCATGTTAATTTACATCTAAAAAAATGAAACAAGAAGCTGTCCTAAGGTCAAGGAAGAGACAGAAGTTAACCAGGTTTACAAATCTGGATTATCAGCACCAGCAACAGAACTGCTTCTCCAAGCCATTTACACCATTCCAATTTACCACATAAAAAGGTACCTGAAAGAAAACCAAACCAAATCCAACAACTCTTAAATGCATGAAACAGATTGGTCTTTAAAACACAATTTAAAAGTAAACAAAGTAGACCTGAACTTGGGCATGGTCAAAGGCTGAGACCAAGAGCTCCTGGGAGAACCGTGCTGCCTCCCAGATCCTAGTGAGAGACAACAAAACCAAAATGGGTACCCAGCCCTGAAAGGCTATAATAATTTCTATAATAAATAGAAATAAAATCAGAGAAGATTCAAGCAAAATTCGTAGTACTTAAGTTTATACTTAACAGATTAATTTAATATGAATTTATATGAACAACGTTTAAATAGTTACTGAGAGCATTTCAGGAAAAATGAAGCAAGCTAAATTGAGTGCAGAATGAGGACCAGCAATTTGGGGACATAAGCAACAGTTGGGTGTAGAACTCTCTGCCCGTTACAGAATTTGAATATCTAAATGGTCTCCCGACTTTTTGGGGATGACAATGTGTCTCCTTTGACCCTTTCACAATGCAAGCACTGGATTCATTTGATGTAACCACTGAAACCAGTGCAGATGAACAAAATCCAGTGGAAGGCAACCACTAAACAACAGAGAGTCACAGATGTGAAACCGGTGTCATTTCAACAGAGAATGTAAGTTCTCCTCAGAAAAAGTTCCAATAGTCTCTCATATTGTTAGATTTTGATAATCTAGAGGCTTCCATGACTTGAAAATCTCAGTAAGTAACACTTCAATAGAGAACCACTGTAAGATTCCTGCTAAGAACAAGTCAGTACACCCAAGCAGCAGGAGCTGAATGTTGATGATGACAGATTTACAAGGAGGAAAATACAAATTTTCAAAAGAGGAAAAAGAAAAAGAATTTATTGCTGTCATGCTGTAACTAATCCTTCTCTTCTGCATTCTTCAGCCATCCTACAAGACTTTGAAAGTGCTCAATTAAAGCTGCAAATTTAGCCAGTTCACAGGTGAGTACACTTCAGATTAGTTTTTGAATAATAAAAAAAACTTTGAAAACCCTACACTGCTTTATTTTCATCAAACTAAACATGAGTCAGATTGTGAGACAGAACATCTACATTCGCCATGTGATTAGAAAGAGAAAGATGCTTCTTGGCTTCTAACATAAAAAGACTTTGGGCATAACACTAAAAGGAACCTGAAAAAAAAAGTCCTCTAATGACTGCAAGAAAATATTCTCTTCCCACAACTGTAATCCTAAAGCTAGAAGCCTCAGCTTTAAGCTTTCTTGATTTGTTTCTTGCTCACAATGCGAAGCTAGAAGCCTCAGCTTTAAGCTTTCTTGTTTTGTAAGGACATAACTTCTTGCTCACAATGCAAGAGGAAAACAAGAAACTACATTTTCAATGTTCTTGAATAAGAGTTCGCACCTGTGGAAATATATGAACTCCTGCAGGAAAACTACAAATTCTGAAAATGTTTATCATGGCTTCTCTTCACATTTCATCTGGTCTAAGCATCTCAAAGAAATTTTTACATTTCAAAGATAACAAGAAATAATTTTATACAGAAGCACCACTTACCCACAATAACGAATCCATCTGCCTCTCTCTCTGGAACTGTAACCTTCTTCGAGTCTTGACTTTTTCGGAAGAAGCTGAACATAACTTCTTTCTTTTCTTTCTTCTTAAGCCGTTATCTAAAATGAAGACAAAACATGTTAAATAAATATAAGATAACATCATTTCCCCTAAGAAGTTCACAACACACCAAAGGCCTCATACATGATATCACAGCTTAATTTTTATTACCAGATTTGTATGTCAGACATCCAAATGAGAAAGAGAGAAGAGCGCTACCACATTGTGCTTGGATTTAAAAAAAGAAAATAACAGAAAGAAAGAAAGATAAAAATCCTGCATTAACTATTGTATCACAGCTTAATTTTTATTACCAGATTTGAAATATCAGGCATTTGTATGTCAGACTTACAGATGAGAAAGAGAGAAGAGGGTTACCGCATCGTGTTTGGATTTAGAGAAAAATAACAGAAAGAAAGATAAAAATCCTGCATTAATTATTTGCTGTAATTCTTCACTTCCCACCCAAATATTCAGGATTCCATAAGCAAGACTTTTTCTGTCCTACCCAGTGACCTGTAGTGATTAACTGCAATTAACTGTTCGCCAGATACAAACTGCCTCCCGCTCTGCTGTTACAAGCCACAGCAAACACCTCCAGTCTCCACATCACACAAAGTCCAGTACGGAGGGTAAGCACTGCCTTTAGGAAATGGTATAGAAATAGAACGTGGCAAAAGCAGCAAGGATTCAGACTGTGGCCCAATACCTGCAACTTAAAGATGGAATCCGCCGCAGGCTGGGCAGCTACTGCTTGTTCATGCTGACACGGTGCCATTTCCAGCAACCAAATAAACTACACTGATGTACAGAAGAACAGAACAAACTATCCAATCCCAGGTGTGCGGTAATTAAAAAAAAAAAAAAAAAAGTTACTTATCTTGCACCTTATTCCTTATTCCACGTGAAATACTGATATTTCCAGTTCCGTGGAACTCCTAATTACCTCATTGATTCGTTACCTTCCCCCACACCCAGGCTCAACACATGGCGCCAGCAGCATATTCCCTTTTCAGCCCTCGGGGAGTAAGTCTTCTCCTGCTACCAATTAGGGCTGTCAGTCCCATAGCTCAAGTGGTAAAAACCTGTGCTGTAATGCTCCAGAGTCAGGTTTCTGCTCCAATGATGTATGAAGGAGAGGCAGCGGTGGAACAGTTTAAAATGCAATTTAACCTTCATCCTAAGTGTGCAACAACAAGAAGCAAAATCAATTTGATGTGTAAAACCTTACAGATAGCTTTGGTAAGGGCTCAGATTCCACTCAGCCCCTTCAGGTGCCAGAGCTCCAGTTGCTCCAATCACTTTTTTTTATTTTTTTTTCTCTTTGAGATGTGTGTTACTGTACAGTTTTCAGCTCCATCACACAGCATTCCCCTTCCCTTCTTTCTCCCACAAAGAAAGGCATCTTAATCGGTATATCCATGGCACAAAAGAGCTGTACAGGAAACCACACAGATGTCATCTTTTAAATCCTGCATATTTAACATACCTAAACTTCACTGCTTAAAGGACAACAGACACTCCAATGCAGAGTAAATTAACAATCAGTACCATTTGAACAAATTAATGTTACAAGCAATTTTACATCCTAGATTTTTTCCTTTAGTTGACAGAAGACAGCCTGAGTATCCCAATTTTTTCTAAAACCCACAAAATGTATCTACATACACAAGGCTTGATCTTTACTTCGCAGTTTTCAGTTTCTGAAGTAGCTTTAAACTTAATTCCACTGTCAGCGGTATTTTTCAAATGGAAAACAAAACAAAAATCCCACATCCTTTTGCTTGAAGCAGAAAAACAAACAAAGCAAACAAAAGTACCCCTTGAGCTCAGGCCTGGGGTTTCTACACTGTTAAAACCACGGGTCCGGCAGTAAGAAAACAGAATTTGTTGTATTTTGTGATTGTGAATGTTGGGGAGGTGGTGAGGAATCCACATATTAACAAGATTTCACGTCCTTAGAGAGGCTGTTTCCCTCTCTGGAAACAAAACTTGTGCTTGTAGCTCTCACTGGGGAGGAAGGAGCTCGCCAACCTGCAATATTTCAGTACCTTTGCTGAACACAAAATTAAGTTTAGAGTAAATAATAAAGAAGAATTAACAAAACAGAAAGGGAGCACAAACAAAAAGTAGAGGGAGCACAAACAAAAAGTAGAGCTGTACACAGTACAGCACAGGGAAAGGCAAACCCACAGACAAGCAATGCTGGGCTATTTGTGATATTTGCTCTCTTAAGAATTTTATCAACTGTGGTACTTCAAAAGTAAACATAAATCTCTCCAGCAACGGGAAATGCAACCACTAAATTTCTTGAATTACATGTTAAAAACAGAACAAAGCCCCTGTCCAACAAAGAAACAGGGAGTTGAATGGAAACACTCTTGAAGATAAGACCAGAGTTTAAGCACTTGCAGAATCAGGCTGGAGTTTTACTACTTGTAGATAAGATGAGGTTTCAGTTAACAAAAGCTGAGAAAAACCAGTTTCCACACAAGTTTCATTTCACAGCAAAAAAATGAAATTTGAAGTTTGTGGACCTGCATGTATGGTCACACAGACCAGAGAAAAAAAGCACTTAGCTGCAGTGGTGGGTTTGTGTTTTTTTTTTAAAGCTGTCAGCACAAAATCACAGAAAATCCACCCGCCGTTCAGAGATAGCGCCACGCTCCCGCAGTCATTTCTCCTGCACAGCACAGAGCCTTCCCCTTCCAGATGGGATTCATTTTATTTCTATACGAGACCTGAAATTGAATCCACTGCCTAAAGATAAAAATCTCCCTTGGTAGGAATATGCAATTCCCTTCTCCTCGTATTTCCCTCTCACCAAAAAAAGTGAACACAATTTTTTCTTTCTCCAATCTCAGTCGCTGATAGTTAAGAATAATACTTTTGGCACCGCTTCAGTCATTAGCAATTAATAAACTGTGAACTAGAGCAATTCTGTGAGGCTGCAAAAAATATTTTGTCTTTCTGTGAGGCTCTCAGAACATACTTGGGATTGGACAAAGATGAGTTACAGAACCGCACAAAGGGGTTAATTTATTCCTCCTGCATTTTGTCAGTCTCCTTTGACAAGAAGTATGGGTGACCTTTGAGCCAAACCAATACCTTAAATCCAATAAAATTCTTCTATACAATGAAGATACTGGCATATTTAGCATTACCTTCCAGCTTCTTCAAGAATGCTCACAAGTGATAGGAGGAGAAAGGTAATTTAATATTAAAACCAGCGAAGATGCAGAGTACGATAAAGAGGGGATGCCCAGGAAGACAGGGAAGCAGAATGGCAGTGGCATTGCTGGTAATTAGACAAATGATGAAATGAGGTCAGAACCAGATACAAAACTCACCTTAAAGAAAGAAGCAGAATAATTTCCTATCTAGCAGTTTAAGCTATCTCATCTATGGAAGAAGAAAACGGAAAGCATCAGAGCAATTCTCTCTTCCATATTAGCATCCCCTGTGATTCACCAATAAAGTAGCAATCAAAAAAAAAAGATGTTTACAGCCCTGTACAGCCCTGCTGACGACAGGAAAACAACCAGTTTAAGAGTCAAGAACATACATGTCGAGAAGATTCCTCTGTGACACCAAAAGAACAGTTTAAAAGCTTTTAGTTCTAGTGTAAGAAAAAAAAAGACATATCATTTCTTTGTCTGGCATTAACATTAGTCATATTCCTTTAGTTTGTGAGTCTTGAAAACAGAAGAAAAGAAGTGTCAAGAGAAACACGAATACAAAAAAAAAGGGGATATACATATAACAAAACACTAACAAAGACTTTTTTACTTACATAAAAAGGGAATATTTGTTTTTAAAGTTTTCATAAAGTTTAAGAGAAGTAGAAATACCAAGAACTATGCAACCCACATTACTACAGTACAAAAACACTTGAAGACGCTGAAACATAAAAAAATCAACTACGGTCAAATCAGACCATAAAAGCAGAAGTGACAAAGGCAAAGCCAAAGCACTCAAACCGATGTCAACATTCAAGATCCTGAAGACAGAAACATGCTAAAATGCCAGGTGTTTATTGGATACAACGCTCAATAGTTGAAATCCACTTGTTTCCCTGCAAACAGTTCTCTTTTGACTACAAACCTTTAACAGCTGGCCCTTCAGACGTGGCAAGGAGCCCTAGAAGAGCCACTTTGCAGCAGCCCGCTGCATCTCCCTCCAACAGTTATGAGAGCTCTCCTTTCAAATCTCTAAGATGTGCTAAGGACATGAGGATATGCTCTGGCAAATAAACCACTGAAAAGGTGAATGGCCTCGTGACACTGAAGAGGTGACAATCAGCTACATTCCATGGAAGGTATAACCCCACAGCACTCCCCTTCCTCTTACCTGTGAGGAAAGGCTAAGAGGGTTGGGACTGTTTAGCCTAGAGAAGGCTCAGGAGGATCTTATTAATGCATATAAATGCCTGAAAGGAGGGTGCAAAAGGGCCCTTAATCACCATTGAGGCCCTTCACTGGACTCTCTCCAGTATGTCCACATCTCTCTTGGACCCAGAGCTCCAGGTGTGGCCTCACCAGGGCTGAGCAGAGGGGAAGGACCACCTCCCTCGACCTGCTGGCAAAGCTGCATCAAATGCAGCCCAGGATACCATTAACCACTTCTCCTGCAAAACAAATTGGGAGGAACCTCTCCACGCAAGGGAGAGTCAAGGAAAACACATGGAAAAAAGCAAGATGCATGGTGAGAGTGCCATGTCTAGCCAGCTCTGTCTTATGTCCGTCAATCGCTCTGACCATAGGATCGAAGTCCCCCCCCCAGCCTCCTTTTCCCTAAACTAAACAAACCCAAAGTCCTCAGCCGCCCCTCACAGGACATTTCTTCCAGCCGTTTCACCAGCTTTGATGCCCTACTCTGGATGTATTCAAGAACCTCCACATCCTTCTTAAATTCCACACGATACTCAAGCTGAGACCACACCAACACTAAACACACAGTTTGCTCTCTTGGCTGCCAGGACACGCTGCAAACTTAAACTGAGCTTACTCTCAGCCTGCACCTCCAGGTGCTGCTCTCCAGCCACTCCTCTCCCAGTTTATACTGGAAATGCCTGAGTATTGCAGCCATTACGTGCACAGAATCATAGAATGGTTCAAGTTGGAAGGGACCTTAAGGATCATCCAGTGCCACCCCCTGCCCTGGGCAGGGACACCTCCCACCAGCCCAGGTTGCTCCAAGCCCCCTCCAACCTGCCCTTGAACCCCTCCAGGGATGGGGCAGCCACAGCTTCTCTGGCCAACCTGGGCCAGGCTCTCACCACCCTCACACCAAACAAGCTCTTCCCCACATCTCACCTCAATCTCCCCTCTTTCAGTGTCAAACCCTTCCCCCTTGTCCTATGGCTCCCCTCCCTGACCAAGAGTCCCTCCCCATCTCTCCTGGAGCCCCTTGAGGGACTGGAAGAGGCTCTAAGGTCTCCCTGGAGCCTTCTCTTCTCCAGGCTGAACCCCCCCAACTCCCCAGTGCTCCCAGCATCTCCGTGGCCTCCTCTGGCCCCGCTCCAACAGCTCCATGTCTTCAGTAACAGACTCAGAAAGGCCCAGGAGACCACAGACCACCTCCCTTTTGGTGTCTCGTGCACCAGACAACAAAATCACGGCACTATCTGGCACCCACAAACAATGATAACGTTCAATCAGAGCAACGTTTTGAATGTCAACTCCGGCCTGTAAAAGCCAGGAGGGTTAACGGGCCGGTGATGGGAGCGCTCGGCTCGGAGAGCGGTGACCTGAGGGGAGCGACTATGTAAAGGGAGAAGGGAAACGGCGCCGTCAGCGGAGGGGAAAAAAAGGGGCTAATTTAGGGGAAAAAAAAAGATTAAACGGCAAAACATACAGTGAGTAGGGCCGCTGTCACACCCCGGCCCGGCCGCCCGCCGCCGCCGCTCACCAACCGCCGCCGCCGCTTCCGGGTCACGTCAGGCGAAGGGGAAGTCCCGCCCCCGCACTTCCCCTCCCCGGCCCGTTGCCGGGGTAGCGGCGCGCGCCCCCTCCCTCCCCTCCGTGGGCGGGCGGGAAATCGCGGCGGAAGATGGCGGACCTCCATGAGGTGCCGCGGCGCCGCATCGCCACCAGCCAGCTGGCGCAGCACATCGGCCAGCCCGTCTGCTTCGTGGGCCGCGTCGAGAAGGTCCGTAGTCTCCTCCTGCCGCCCTTCGGGCCGCGCCGCGGGGCATCAGGGTGAGGGGGGCTGCCCTGTGGCCCCGGTAGGGCCTAACCCCGGGGTGCGCTCCGGGATGGGCCCCTGTGGGGAGGTGGGGGGACACTGCTGTGGGGTGGCTGTCGCCTTACCCGGCGTGGCTCGTCGCAGTCCGGCCTGGAAGAGGCCGGTGGCTCCAGTCAGGCTGTTAACGGTCCGGTGTTTCAGGGAGAGGCCCGTTGCGCGGTTGTGGTTGAGGCGGTTAAACCGGTAACTCCTCACGGCTGCCCTTTGAGCGCGCAGGCCTGTTGTCTTTTGTAGATCCACCCTTCTGGGAAGCTTTTCGTGCTCTCGGACGGAGAAGGAAAAAATACAACTGTGGAGCTGAGCGAGCCTGTAAGTTAAGGAATATTTTGGGAATGCCTGGTGTTGCCTCTTGTGGATATCGGAGGTTTTGACCCTTCTGAAACCTGAGCATGCCTCACGCGTATTGAGTTTTCAGTCACGAAAAAAACCCACATCTTAGTTTTTTCTTGAGGTTTTGTTGCTTCTGTAACACGTGCAATCCTTGGGATGTGGTAAATTTTTAGTCAGGAAAAAAAATATATCATTAAACGGTTTGGATTGGAAAGAACCTTAAAGATCGCCTAGTTCTAGCCCCCCTGCCCTGGGCAGGGACACCTCCCACCAGACCAGGTTGCTCCAAGCCCCCTCCAACCTGGCCTTGAACCCCTCCAGGGATGGGGCAGCCACAGCTTCTCTGGGCAACCTGTTCTAGGGTCTCACTACCTCCATATTAATGAATTGCCTTGGTCTTCCTCAATTTTCAGTTGGAGTTGGGAGAGAGAACTCCTTCCTTGTCAGACACATCCCTGTAAAGTGGATTTATAAAGTGGCATCTTCCATCTGATCAATGGAATGGCCTCAATTTGTGCCAGGGGAGGTTCAGATTGGATATTAGGAAAAGTTTTTACACAGAAAGGGTTATAAGCCTTGGAATGGGCTGCCCAGGGAAGTGGTTGAGGCACCATCCCTGGAGGGATTTAAAAGACGAGTTGACAGAGTGCTTAGAGAGGGTTTTATCAGAGTTAGGTTGATGGTTGGACTAGACGATCTTAAAGGTCCCTTCCAACCCAGACAATTCTATGATTCTCTGATGCTTTTTCTTAATTTTTTGAGTCAGTACTTAATTGCCTGTTACAAAAACTGTAAATCTGTAAGTAGCTCAAGGTTTTTGTTGGTTTTTTTGGGGAGGGGGGGCAGGGGTGTTCAGTAGTCCTGTGTTGTTTGATACTGAACAGAATCTGTTTTTTTGAACAAACCATAACCTTCAGCTGTGAAGAGTTCCCAGCTTAAATGCTGTGCAGTAGAGACAGCGGCTGATTTGGTAATACTGATTTAATTTTTGGTGCATTTTCTAGCTAGAGGAAGAGATCTCAGGAGTTATTGAAGTAGTGGGAAGAGTCACAAACCAGGCAACCATCATGTGCGCGTCATACGTCCAGTTCAGAGAAGATAAAAGTCCGTTTGGTGAGTAAGAATATACATTCTGACAAATTAATTTTGTATTCTAAACTCTTCTTCGATAAGTAAAACGGGAGAGCCTGATTATCTCTTCAACCAAATAAGGTCTTCAAGCTGCCAGCTGTGGAGCAGAACAGAATAAAAGGGAGTGTCATGGCAAAAATTAAGTACGAAATACACTGGTTTACTGTCAAACTGTAGGGATTGACTCGAAGCTGGAGCCAGGCTAGATGGTTGCCATGGTCTGATCATTCTCCCACTTTTGACAGTGTGGTTCTTGCCTGGACTTTGTGGGACTCTGCACCGAGGCCTAAATATAGCCCTCTGGAAAGTGAGCAGTGAGAGCACAGCTGCCTGGGCAAACTGGGGAGAATTGAGGGGCACTGGGAAGGCTCAGCTACACAGCTTAACACAAACAGCGCTTTAATGCTGTCATTCACCCGTGGGGAATTGACCTTATGCATCATAACCCTTTTCTTTGCCCTGTTTCAGATCTGGAAATCTACAACGAAGCACTAAAAATTATTCATGAATTCCCTGAATACTTCCCATTTGGCACTGGGAGGAAGAACTGATTTTTCTTAGCGTATATTTAGAGGGGACACCAGCACTGTAACTTTTTTACCTGACAGCATGTGAATAGTGGCATTTATTTCCGACAAATGTACTGAAAAGATGCTGTTACATGGGCCACGTATGGCCAGTGAAGAATGTTTTCTTTGAAAATTAATTGACAGGGCAAGGAGAATGCTGCTGTGGGTACCTCACTGTATATATCTAACCCTTCTGTTTCCATGAGGAGTGTTCAGCTACAGGATTGGACTTGCTAGAAACTGGAGTTTTGTAGATGTCTCTCTGTTTTGGCAAATTTCACAAGAAATTTGTATTTGGTGGGGTTTTAATGTAAATATTTTTCTTTTTTAATTTCGTTTGCTTTGATACCCCCCTCCCCATATTCAATAAATTTGTATTTTGCGTCTTGAAAATGGTCTCTTCTCCAATAAAAAAAATATCTGATATAATAGAGTGCTGTTTTCAGTGATAGATGGTGCCTCCTGGTCTATTTTGTACCAGATAGGGGTGATTTAACACAAAGTGGAGTGTGAGGTATTTATTTGCCTTTTCCCCTGAGATTAGGCTGGGGATTTCAACCCCTGCTGAGTTCCCACCACAGCCTTCATTCCTGGGGGGAGTCTAAGCAGAAGTACTAGGAGCCAGCACGGTCATGATGACTTTAATGACATAAAATTTCCCCATAATTCCTGAGTTTGGGACTACTACTTACAACTTGTGGCAGAATTCTTACATCTTAAGGTAGCGAAATCTAACTTTGAAGGTATTCTTTGTGAATGAATAAATGTGTCAATTAAATGGCGTTGTTAATAACAGCATGCTCATTTTCCTACCATTTAAAAGTCTTTTGTATTACTGCACTTTGGAAAATTGGTATTTTGTTACCAAGGCCTGATAAAATAGCCTACCACTAGATGGCTGTGGCTGTTTACCCCACGCAGAGCCTGTCCTTGGATGTAAGGCCCTGTGTGTAACAATTAGAACCCAGCTGAGTGGTAAATACTACAGTTTCCCATTTTTAGTGAAGACTTTTCTTCTTCACCCAGTCCTGCAATTAGACTCTGTCGGATGTAAAAAACTAAATGTGTAAGTGAGAGCAGCTGATAAAATGTCTACAGTTATAATTTTTGTTAGAAGACAACAAATTGCCCCACAAATCACAGCTGTATTAAAAAGCCAAACAAGGCAAAAAATCTGATCATTAAAAACCATACACCTCTTAGTTTGTAAATTTTCTAAACTGTGTAATTACTGGCCTGAAGGTGTGATTAGCAATAATGACAGCCCAAAGGGGTAGTTACAGTGTGCCAGAATGAATCCACACCATTGCAAAGACATGCAGAGTATCAAAGTAAGCATCTAATTTAATGACATGATAGAATTTGACACAAAACAGGTATAGTCGAGTCAAAAACATTATAAATGCAATTCCGTAAGAGAATGAGACAGTGAAAGTTAGTAGTTGCATTCACCTGAACGGGAAAGTTTGCTAAACATTGTTACAGAGGAATAAAAACACATCCTTGACACTTACAAATCCTCATTTCCATAAAGCAAAAGTTTTATTGCCTGTATTTATATAAATAGAGTATCATACATTAAACCCCAGTTTATAAGTTTTGAAGAGCTCTTCAACAGCAACATAAAGTGTGCAAAAATACCAGAAAAAGAAATAAATATTCTTAACAAGAAAAAAACCTAAAAGTAACTGCTCTCCCATGCCTACAAACATCAAGTACCTCTTAGATTTTTCACTTAAAGTTCTTTCTAAATTAGGCAAGAATTTTAGATGAGAATAAATGTAGGAGATGTATTATAACATTAAGTCAGAAAATATAACCAGAACTGAATGCAATTCATGTACATCTACAGAAAATGCTCCCACATTCTATCTTGTTGGAACTACACCCAGGAATTAGAGCCGTGGAGCATTACAATGTATTCTCTTTTAAAACACCAATTTTCACAGTCCTGGCACTCCAGCACCAGTTTATTGCTAGCATTCCATTGAGCATTTCATAGCACGCAAGCGGTAAGGAACTCATCCTGTTTCTACCAGTAAATAAACACACACCAAGTAAACTGATGTTCTTATCACAGACCTTAAAACAGGTGGGGTTTTCCCCCTAACTTGTGTGAATTTTGTTGCCTACAAACATCAAGGACACCACCACCCACCAGCTCCTGGCACAGTATGAGCAAAACATCATTGACTCTCTCTCAAATCAAGAAATAATCTTAATTCCAACTGGTAACGTTTCTAGAAGTACTTCTGGTCAATGACCTAACCTTGAGCAGCCTTTTGGGAGCAGTGTGGTGTCCACGAGGATTTATGGAGGTTGATTTCACAAGTACAGGGAGATGCTGATTATCCAAAAGTCTTCAAATATTTTTGTAGTCAAAACTCAGCGCGTAGTTGAAAACTTTAAATATTTACAAGCCCCCGGTCCTTGAGATTTCAGGTCTTCACAGCACTACGTGAAAAATTAATCAATCAAATGAACCCTCCTATAGTTTCCCTGCACTCAAAACACAAGGGTTTGCAGGGAAATCTTCTCTAGGGTGTAGGCATCATGATGAGACAAACCCCCCCCAAATCCTTTAGCATGAAAATTCACATCAGCCAGGTGCACAGATAAATAAGACCTTGAATTGCAAAGGTACTGCTTTACTATTAACAAAACCTGGGGATGGGAAGAAATGGATTTTTCTTTAAAATAAAAAAATCTGTAGAAGACAATTAACAGTGGCACTTGGAAGGAAACGACGGTTTGCGTACAAGAAAGCGTGATCAAACCACAAACAGAGGAACCCACAGCATCACTGCGTGGGCTTCTGAAGAACACTTACAGGTGTGTGCTCTGAAGGCCCACTTTCACAGCATTCTTTGGAAAACAAATGAAAGGGCTGATCAGCGTTACCCTGAAAACTTTTAATTAAAGTCCTTTGGATTTTAGCAAATCCAAAGCGTCCACAGTTTGCGGAGGGCTTTTGAACAGAACTGCCTCAGTCCTCAGAACAAGGACCACAAACTACAGCCTGGAGGCTCCTGTCAGGAATCCCTGTTTCTACCAAGCACAGCCGTACACCCATCGTTTTGCTAATCTGATAGCAATTTATTTTTTTTCACAGTCACTAAGTCACAAATGACCTTTGTCTAAAATATCTGCTTGGGCTCTGCTGGACACCCTTAGAGAGCCCCACGTTTTCAAACGAGATTTAGGCCTGGACAGTCTCTGCTGGGATGAGGTTCCCTGTGGTATCCAGCTGCATGCACTTACACGAGCAGGCAGACACCGGGCACTCAGTGTGGTCTCTAGATGGCAATAACAGAAAAAAGATAAAACAATTAAAAAAAAAAAACTAGAAAGATTTTTGGAATCTATACATTTAAACACGTGCAGGGATGCAGTATTTCAGAAACACTCAGCATCATAGTTAAGCTCTGCAGATATATAAACCAACAAAACATTATCATAGAATGGTTTGGGTTGGAAGGGACCTTAAAGATCATCCAGTGCCACCCCCTGTCCTGGGCAGGGACACCTCCCACCAGACCAGGTTGCTCCAAGCCCCCTCCAACCTGCCCTTGAACCCCTCCAGGGATGGGGCAGCCACAGCTTCTCTGGGCAACCTGGGCCAGGCTCTCACCACCCTCACAGCAAAGATGAGATTTCCTGAAATCTCAGCTCCATCTCCCCTCTTTCAGTGTCAAACCCTTCCCCTCATCCTATGGCTCCCCTCCCTGATCCAGAGTCCCTCCCCATCTCTCCTGGAGCCCCTTGAGGGACTGGAAGGGGCTCTAAGGTCTCCCCGGAGCCTTCTCTTCTCCAGGCTGAACCCCCCCAACTCTCTCAGCCCCCCCTCCCAGCAGAGGGGCTCCAGCCCTCCCAGCATCTTTGTATTACAATGACAGATTGAGCAAAGGAGACGTGTCCCACTCAGTGCAGCGCACACAGGTGAAATGAGAAAGGTTTTAACACCAATTTACCTGAACCAGCTCAGCATGTGCCCGGCGTGTCCCCCGTGCCTGCAGTTGTGACACCAAGTAAACCAGTTGTTGAACTGGGCCAGCTTCTTGTCTTTGCTGAGATCCACCTTTTCATCCGACTTGGATCCTCCTGTGCAGAGGCAAACCCACCCCCACAAACACACCTGTAAATCATGAGGCTTCATTTCTATTTCAGTCCCAGTAACACCATTAGAACAAATCTGAAACTAGGAACATTGTGTAAAAAAGTGGCCTGATTTTAAAAGAGAAGCCGGCACAATTTTTTACCAGAGAAGAACTGGTAGAGAGCCAAACTAAGGATTGTACTGCTGAGCTCATTTCACATCTTTAACATGCCTTTAACAGGGGTGTTAAACTTGCCCATTCGACAAATTTTACAGCCAGAATCTCCTCAAACAATGATTTGTTTCAGTGATTGATTTATATTCCAGTGAATTGTGGACCTGTATTCGTGCATGTGAAATGTTCTGCTTTAAAAATAGAGATATTTATATAGCAACAAAAACTGAAATAATGAATTGGAACAATTACAATAAAGAAGTCATATGAGATCAGTGAAAGGATGAGAAGAGAGATATAACTAGATGAGAACCACATGGCTGCACGTGGCTCTGTAACAAGACTGGCTTAAAAATATGAAGAAAATCAGTTTCATTTAGACCTTGAATAGAGCTGAGCCCAAGACACTTGGAACCAACAGATTCCAGGCAAAATATTTCTCAGCTGTGACAGCACGACCCATACATTCTTTCAGAGTGAGTGACAGGAAGGATACCACATTAAGTGTATTCTCTCTTCCTCTTCCAGCTAAAAATCAATTAATTTAGATTCCAAGATTTCTGTAGTGTCCCTGCAATTCATCTCAAAAACCCACACTTCCCATTTCTTACAGTTTTAAAGCTCACAATACTGACCACCACAATTCCTGAATCTTTTCATCTGTCTAACTGTGGGATTTCACAGACCATCTCACTGCCAGAAACAAGTTCCCAAAGACCAGACATAGGTTTCACCATAAAATCCAGTGGGACATAAACAAGTTTTCAATTCTGGTCTTCCTCCTTCAACACGAGGAGTATGAAGATTTACAGAATGAATACAAATAGAAGGAGAAAGGTGCAGGAGAACATCTTCCAGCAGGAACTGCTAATTAGACCTCTCTCTTGTACTTCAGCTGAATAACTCTGACCCACGGTGTCCTACCTGGGCAGCTGGAAACGGGGGTTCCCATGTTGATGAGGCAGAGTGCGCAGCGGGGAAGGGGTTTGCGGCAGCCAGGACAGCTTGTCACTTTTGACTTAGTGGGTGACCCGCTAACGCCATACTGGCTGAAGCCTCTCCCCTGGTGAGGAATGGCTGAGCAGCTGTAGGATATCGATTTTCCACAGAAATTGCAACTCACAAACACCTAAAGACAACACAAGCACATTAATTTTTTCAGTTGGTTCCACTTTTGCTCTACCTATATGAGGGAATTTGTTCACCACACTCTAGAGAGCACCCTAGAAAGCCAAGGTACTTGTGAAGGAGTTCCTGACATCTTGGCTTGTAAATGTGGCACCCAGGCCCGAGAAGGAGTCCTTAACAATGCTAATTTCAACTCTTTTGGGGCTATTTATGTTATTTATGTTAATCACATAAAGAATGAGCAGTAAACTCAACTCCCTCCCACCCGGAGCAGCCAGAGGATGCAGCTCTCCCTACTCAGCTGGGATGGATACAGGAATTAAAAAAAAGCCTTCCTGATAAACCTTAGGGCCCAAAAGCTTGTAATTCCCAAACTGAGCAGCCACAAGAGAGTGGAAGGTGCTGTGCTAAGGCCACATTGGCTAAAAATGCTATCAGATGTTAAGTAGATAGCATTTAGACAGGGCATTAGGTTTTGGTTTAACTTTTAGTTTAAGGTTCAAGGGCTTCAGAACAGCTTTGAGGTTCACTTCAATTAAAACAGAGCCCATCCGGACTGGTCCTTGGCTCAATTCCCTGGTTTCAGCATCATCCTCACACTGAGAATCAGGGATGTATCATCCAGCTGAATTCATGTTTTTCAGCACAGGAGGAAAAAAAAACCAAAACAGTTTTCCCAGAAAAAGTGTTCAAAAGTTACAGTTTCTGAAAGACCTTTCTACAGAAGGATGATGCCACCTTCCTTCCTGGACTGGTGATATTTCCTATAAGAATTACATTTACCTGGACAGTTTCTGAAAGACCTTTCTACAGAAGGACGATGCCACCTTCCTTCATGGTGATATTTCATATAAGAATTACATTTACCTGAGCTAAAGGTTTTGAGCTGGGATCCAGCTTACTCCTGTGGATATCAAATTCTGCCCGTTTATGCCAAAATCTCCAAGCATCTAAAAGATTCCTGTAGTTCTCGATCCAGTACTGAACCCTCTCATCCTTAAGTACGTCTGATGGAGAACCCTAAAGCAGGCAGGAAAAAATGCCAGAAATATTATTCACTTTTTCAAAGGGCTTTACAAAGCATACTACAAAATATGAGAAACAATAGAATGTAATTTTTCTAGAGAAAGATTAATTTTCTGTTAAACTGTAATGTCAGTTAGATAAGAAATTGTTTTCAGTCTGCCTCTCTGATTGAAAAGACTTGTGCTGCTGTATCCTCCTAAAAACTTGTGTCTGTATAACATAAGGAGTATGAAATTCTGCCACATATCACAGTCTGTATCATCATTATGATTACAGTTAATCACAGTGCTGGCAATAGTGGACACTATGTAAAAGTCAAGACAAGCTCATCGTAAAACCAAACCCTGTGCTTACAGGCAAACAAAAAAACCTCACCTCAGTTCTCTATCAAAATTGTGGAAGCAAAAAAAGTACTGAACTTGTCAGGAAACACAGCAGCAAGAAGCAGGGAAATGGGTATTCCCAGGTCAGGTAGTGAAAAGGGTTATGTTTTCTTTTTGCCTCTTGATCTCCTCAAGCTGTGTCAGCCAGAGAGAGGGGAGACACGTGTTTACAGTCAACACTGAGTGTTTCAGATGATTCCACAAAACAGTTCCAATTTATTATAGAAAATAACTTTTTAGTTCACCAGATTCAGTGCTCTACTGCTAAAGAAACTACGTTTAGTTCTCATCTGTAAAGATTTCCTTCTGGGTGAAGCACTCACCTGCAGCATGCAATAACTTGCTGTCTGCACGTCCCCGGTTCTGTCCACATAACTCTCCATCAAGTCAACTCCATCCTTGGTCAGCCCCGTTAACAGTATTCCCTCCAAATTCCCAGCATCCTTCATTTCGTTCGTCAGCTTCTCAATAAACCTGTTCAGCTATTTAAAAAAAAAAATAAAATTACTTAAACTTTTGCCATCTGTTCATCCCTCCCTAACTCATTTATGTTGGTATGTGGCAAAACTTTTCATGATTTTCTGTGTAAAGAGGAAGGTTATGTATTCTTTAAATACTTTAGTGAATTTAAAAGAAAAGATTCCTGCTGTAAAACCAAGCCTTAATGCGAGAGAATGTAAATATCTGGAAATAAATACTGAATAAGGACAAATACTCTCCAGTAAAACAGACACAGAGGTAATGCAATGGCATTTAACAAACAAGTATGTCATAAATCCATTTAAAAAAACAACCGAACAAGACAAATAAACAAAACTGGAGCTGAAGGTACAAACTGAAGACCAGATTATCCCATAATTATATCCTACTGGGATCAGAAAAACCAAATCCCTTATGACTCATTCCTTGCACTTTTCACCCCCCACCCCAGAGTTTCTTAAACATGCCACCAAGAACTCACCTGAGCATCGTTGAGGAACTTGCAAGCAAACGCCACCCTGTCTCGTACAGCCACGTTGTTTTCATACTTTGGAGAGAAAAACAGGAATAACACTGTTACATGCAAGTTTCCACTTCTTCAATACATTGTGAAAGTCAGTATGACTTATACAACAGTACAAGTGTTCTGTGAAATTGATTATGTAGGCAGAAAACATCTGAAGAAAGCTAACACTGTATATCAGCTAAATTGTTCACGTTGGGATAGAGGTACGGGAGCAAGAGGGAAGCTCCTGTACCAACCCCCTCAGCCTGCAGGAGAGCCTGGTACAGCCTGGTACATCCAAATCCAGAAAAAGCAGCTTTATAAGGCAAAAACTACTTCCAAACACGCATTTCTCACATGTATATTGGCACTCAAGGTGCAGCAATACCATATTATTTACTTTCTGCTTTTTAATCATTTCAGTAGACGCAACACTAAAGAAATAAAATCCTTGACTAGATTAATCCTATTAATTAGCTGTGCCTGTATTTCTCCCTCCTGATATTCTGAGAATAGAAACCTCGATTAATGCTGCCAAAACAAGGAGATGTGCTTGGCAAAATGTTTTCATGCAAACTTCAACAGCTCTCACTGAAGTAAAAAATTAAAAAAAAACCAAACAACCTTATCATCTGTCAGTTTCCAATTCATCAATAAAAGATAACTATAAAATTATTACCTAACATCCAGAGAACAAGAACATTCTCTCTTGAAGAGAGGAAAAAAGACTCAAGTTTCTCTCCTCTGGGATTCTTACCTTATTTTTTTCTTAATACTTTAAAAGCGTCACATTACAACAACTTTGTTTTCAACAGGTTTAGGCCAATTACCCTGTTGCCTTAGAGGAGCCCTCCCTTGGGCTAAACAATTCCTACTGAATCCAGTATTTCTGTTGTTCTCTAGCCAAGGATCAAATGCGGTACTTCAAAAGCTCAAAGTATCCCATAATTAACCATTTAGTTTGCTCTCCACAAGGCAATTTTATATCAATTTCAGAAGATGTGAAACTACTCTGTTTACTCTTTCAACACAGTGATTTTAACAAGTAAACAAGGCAAAAGAAAATACAAATAAATGCAAATACAGCTTGATCAAAGTTCTGCAAACTCCCCTGCACTTACTCTGCTTTGTGCATTTCTGTTATTAACCTCTCTCTTTCCCCCCCTCCTGCTTAAGTTATTTTGACAATGTATTTCTAGTGGTTTAATAACTCCACGCTAAAAAAAAAAAAAATCCTTTAAAAATGTGTGAACTATACTGGATATTTTGGCTCCTTATGCACAGTTTGTTCACTAATGTGAGATGCCTGTTTAGCAGAAAAAAATGTTACCTGCCAGCATCAGAAGAAAATAATACATTCTAATCTGATCAATCGATTGGAGTATATAGCCTTTCCCCTACATATGTGTGTGTGCATGGATATATACACCTATTACTTAAAATACGTTTAATTCAAGAGAAATGTACTCACCAAAACACCATCGTATGACCCAGACTCACTTGTCAGGAAAGCAAACATAGCACACAAGTAGGGGTTGTTCAGCTGCAGCCTCAGAGTACTGCACATTTCTCTCCAGAGGGAGTTCTTCTCGTCCGTGTAGCCCGATAGAGCCATCGCTACTACATTGAGGTTCAAATCACCTGGTTTATTAGAAACAAGCAGTGAAACAGTATTCAAGTTGAGGATTTTTTAAAAAATCCTGTTAAAACTAGAATTGAAAGCATCTGCTTGAAATGGAACCTTTTGTCAGGATGCAAGAGAAAATGCAGTAGAATTAACACTCGCTAAAATCAATGTGTGAACACCAGCATTTTTCAGCTGCTGCTTTAAATGCCTCCCTTCAGGCAAGTTAACAAGCCTAAAACTCACAAGCCCACATCCATGACAGCCTCAGTTATATTTTTAATATTGTATCGCGCTGTTCTGGTGGTTTGAAGTAGTTTTGAACTCTGAAATGTCTTCCTATCACTACCATAAAAGATTGTCATTACCATAATCCATACACACGAGGAGTAAAACCATAGGATTGTATCTAGAGCCATCACTTAACAGACCTAGCTGGAAGGTGACCATTGCATACAGCAGCTTCAAGTTAAGAAGCTTCCTAAAAACAAGAAGCTTCCTTAAAACTATTTCATCATTCATTCTGTCTGAACTTTATCTTGAATTTGATGATAGTGAGTCTCTGCTCTGAACCCTCCCTATGGAAAGCACACACACACACACACAAATTTCCCCTCCTACACCAAAAAGGGGCAATATTAAATATAAAAGAACTTTAAGAGCTCCCTTCATGTCTTACCTACCCACTTCAGTAGCAAGAGAGGCTTTTAAATTTAAACTGATGCAAACTGGAGCTGTAGGAGGAACACTGGCAAGAAAACAGAACAAAACCACCTCCATCTCCTGCCTCCAGGATCTAAACTTTTCCCTCAGACACTGCAGCTTTTACCAAACATTACTCCAAAACAAATGTTTTCTGCAGACCCTGAATATTACATTTCAGTTATTGCACAGCCATCGCGCTGGCGGAAACCCGCGTACAGCCCCATAGAAAGTGATATTCCTGACATCCAGCCAAGAGGCAATTCCATTAAGTAAAAGAAACCCACTAGCTCCGAGTGTACCACTGTCTGGGGTGTGTATTGACAGAAAATCCTTAAACATACACTCTATTTTAACCAGACATAAGGCACGTGATAGTCTGAGGAGTGAAACATGAAGATTTCTCAGATTCTCAGGCTCCGACATAACCACTTCAAGCACTTATTTTATGTGACAACAGGCATCTTGCCCAGACTATCTTCCAGAACTCTGTTTATAGAAACAAAATCTACTCAGGTGACGCAAAAGCTGAAACAAAAAGCGCTGAACACAATACACACCTTTTCCTGAGGAAGCCCCTTTATTTAGAATCTGTATCGCTCGCCGTATGTCCAAGTTGAAAAGCGCCACGGCAGCAGCTCGCTCCCAGTCTCCCTCCTGCTCCAACGAATTTAAAAAAGGTTCCACGTCTAAGTCAGTTCCCTTCTTTATCCACCCACAGAGCTGCAAAGCCAAGGATCTCTCCTCACTCAGGTACTGAATAATATCTGCCTGTCTATCCGACCCGCTCCTGCTGTGCCTGAGGTTCTCTGTTGTTCCTACAAATGGGAAAGAAGTTAAATTATGCTTAAATCACAATTTGAATCGCCATCGCAGAGCTTGGATTTCAATCTTAAAGCAGAGTGCAAAAGCTGAGCATTGTATTTTAGTGCTTTAAATCAATATCACTAAAAACTCCCCGGTACGGAGCAACATACACAAAATTATTTTGATCTGCTAAAAATTATGCATCTAAACTTGAAACATATTCCCCACTAAGTCTTTTTAATTTCCTCCACCGATTTTGGAGGTTCTTGTTACAGTTGAGAGGATTGATTGGTTTGTTCAATTAGAAAATGCATAATAAACAGGCAAGAACTTGCTCTACCAGTTCTCCTCTTCTTAGCAAGCATCAACGTGCCAGAAGCTTTCCCCCCACTGAAGAGTTATTTTTTTTTCGCTCCAAGAAGCATAAATATTAATAAGACACATAATGAATAGAGAAGGCAAGATTCAAATAACAGACTGGAATAATAAAAACCCACGCTGAGCACGAGAGGCACAATGGGATGCACCAGGGCTGAGAACCACTTCAGAACAAAACAGCTTCTTGAAACACTGTTATATAAATATAATGGGTACATTTTCTACTGTAAAGTCAGGTTCCCACAACTACACCCCCATTTGGAACTACAAAAAAATAGAAAAGTTATGTTGGGGGGCAAGAATTTTCAGCGCCACAATCAAAACCCAAGGGTTTGAAAGAGTTCAGTGGAGGATTCACCTCTCAGGATATTATTTTTTTATGATTAGTGACTTTCCAAGAACACTTGGAAAATCCTGGAAATTACTGTCATATAAACCCTTAACTTACATATATTAAAAACACAAACAGAAATTGTTTCTGTATTTTTAAATAGCCTCTCTCAATGATTTCTAAAGACAAACCCACAAGCGCATCATTCTGTAAACATACTTCAACAGAACTTAGCAAAGTTGCAACATTCTTACCCAAAGATGACTTCACAATTGATTTAATGCCAGCATAAACTAAGGGACCTTTGTTTCCTGTAAGTTTTTGATCCATATCTTCAGTATACTGCTTCATAAGTATTTTCAGGTATAGGAAGCTTAATTTTTCCCAAGTGTTAGAAAAATTTTATATTTTTTTTTATATTTAAAAGTCATATCCTATTAACACGTGCAAAGTATTTACAGGATGTTGCATTATATTTAAATGCATTTCAGGTAACTGCGTTACGTATAAAGGGGCATTAATTCTTTAGGGTGTAAAGGGCAGTAAAATAAAGGATATAATGCAGAGTGTACCAAAGGGATTTCAGCTGAGGATCTTCGTTTCCAGCTAAGAGGTGATTTCTCCAAACCTGCTCAGTATCCAGCCCATACCTTGACAAAGCTCTGAGCCGCATTTTGGTCGCTATGTCTTTTTCCAAGGAACTGGCTTTTCCTTCCTCCGTGCACTCGTACAAGTGTCGCCCACAAGCCCACATTAAGGACGTCACCGGACTCCAGGCCAGAGAAATTCTTTCAAAAACCGTGAAGTCGGACATAGTCCTGTTGGGGGTCACCACCACCATCCGATTCTGACTGGTGGGATGCCAGGCGAACGACGCGATGTAGTTGTCGCAGGGTTGGACGCTGCGTTCGATGATGGTGGGCTCGGTCTCGTCCCCGATGGGGGTGGGGGTGTGCTGCATGTCGTACAGCCTGATGATGTTGCTGTCCCTGGTCAAAGTGGCCAGCAGCCCAGTGCGCGTGGGACACCACGCCACTTTTGTTAAGGGTTTCGGTTGCTCCGTCAAGGTCAAAACCGGCTTCTCAAACTTTCTCAGATCCCATATGGCAACCTGACCTTCATAGAAGGAAGCTACACGATCGTGGAAATAGGGATCGACAGTCACTCCTTGGACAGCCTTGGTGTTCACAAATATCTTTTGGCTCGTGTTCCTCAGGTCAAAGATCGCCAGGTTTCGATGCATTCCAGCCAAGAGCAGCTTCTGATCCCGTGGAAGCCAACAGAGAGAGAGACAAGCATCGTTCTGTCCCAACTCGTACAGCGGCTTCGTTACCACCAGTCCCACCTCAGGATCTCCTGCCGAAAGTCTCACCTTCTCTGTAGCAACTGCAGTCTCTGGGGCATATTTGCTACTGATATCCCAGATCAATACCGAAAAGTCAGCCCGATGCTTGTCCAAGCCAGCAGCGAGCCAGTTGCTATCCAGTGGGTTCCAGGCCAGGGTATTGCACTGCCGCGCGTGTTTGGGAACAAACTCTTTGCCTATCAAATCTTTACATTTCGAGTTGTGGTCTTGACCCAGGCTGGTCAGTACCACTCGACCGTTGGCCTGGCCGACGGCGAGGAGACATTCGGGATCGTACTTTGGATACCAGGCCACGCATTTCATATACGGTGTATCCGAATTTATTGACAGGAGGGTGGCTGTGGTTTCCTCCGATAAGCGCAAGGAGCCTGCCTTGAGCTCCGAGCTGACAGCCGCGTCGATGTGGTACAGGCTCAACTCCGAATCGCACACAACAAACCTGTCAACGTGGTGCGGGGCCCACAGAATGTCAGGTTTGGAGCCACTCATGTTTAGGGTAAAGTTACATACAATTTAAGCTCTTGTAAGGACACTCAGGTGACATCCATGCATCTGGAAACTGTTGAGAAAATAATTTGTAGGAATGTTAGAATCACAGAATTGTCTGGGTTGGAAGGGACCTTTCAGATCGAGTCCAACCATCAACCTAACTCTGATACAACCATCACTAACCCATGTCTCTAAGCACTCTGTCAACCCATCTTTTCAACATCTCCAGGATGGTGACTCCACCACTGTCCTGGGCAGCCCATTCCAAGGCCCCTTCGGAGCAAAAATGTTTCCTAATCTCCAATCTGACCCTCCCCTGATGCAACTTGAGGCCATTTCCTCTTGTCCCATCACCTGTGACTTGGGAGAAGAGACCGACCCCCCCTGGCTACACCCTCCTTTCAGGGAGTTGGAGAGAGCGAGAAGGGCTCCCCTCAGCCTCCTTTTCTCCAGGCTGAACACCCCCAGCTCCCTCAGCTGCTCCTCACAAGACTTATTCTCCAGAACCCCACCCAGCTCCGTTGCTCTTCTCTGGACCCGCTCCAGCCCCTCAATGTCTTTTTTGTGGTGAGGGGCCCAAAACTGGACACAGCCCTCAAGGTGGGGTCTCACCAGTGCCCAGGGGGACAATAACCCGTCTTTCTTGTGGTGAGGGGCCCAAAACTGGACACAGCACTCGAGGTGGGGCCTCACCAGTGCCCAGTACAGGGGGACGATAACCCCCCTGAGTCCTACTCACCACCATCCTGACACAGGCCAG